CTACAAGAGCTAGTTCCAGGACAGGCTCCAAAGCTACAGAAAACCCTGTCTCTCAAAAAACCAAAATAAATAAATAAATAAATGAAAAATAAAATAAAATGAAGGAGATGGTGCAGAACGGGCCAAGGCAGGGAACTCATGAGTTAAATATTGCCTCCTGAGCGACAGGTCCTGGATTTGATCCCCAGCGCCACCAGACAATTGGGTCTCTGTAAGGACTGGGAATGCAGTTCAGCCGTACAACTCTTTTTGTTTGTTTGTTTTTTTGTTTTTCTTGTTTTTTGAGACAGGGTTTCTCTGTAGCTTTGGAGCCTGTCCTGGAACTAGCTCTTGTAGACCAGGCTGGTCTCGAACTCACAGAGATCCACCTGCCTCTGCCTCCTGAGTGCTGGGATTAAAGGCGTGCGCCACCATCGCCTGGCCAGCCGTACAACTCTTGCCTAGCATATTAAAGGAGCCATCAATGTACAGCGCAGTTGTAGAAGGCCTGCCTGGCGGGCACAAGCATGCGCGAGGCCCTGCATTGCACCCCAGCAGGTGAGGGAAGGGAACTGCTAGCCTTCTCCCACCCTGGGCTAGCCTGGGCTAGCCTTCACAGAGCAGCCACTTACCAGCCCTCTTCACCCTCTTTGCGCAGATGTGCCAGGCCTCCATGCCTCCTGCCACATCGCCCACCTGCAACAGGAGGCTCACTGGGCCTTGTGCGAAGTCCTGGAGCCCTGGTACCCAGTTAGCCAAGGCCGCCTGGCCCGAATCCTCCTCATGGCCTCCACTCTCAAGAACATTCCCTGCAGCCTGCTGGTGGACCTCTTTTTCCGCCCTATCATCGGAGATGTTGACATCACTGAACTGCTCGAAGACATGCTTTTGCTGCGGTGACCTGCAGAGTGGGGTCCGGAGCTTCCAAAGGGGAGGAGCTCAACTCCCCAGATGTAGCCCTCACTTCAGCCACAGCCCCAGTTTGGACTTCCTTGGCTTGGACACAATGTGCTACTAACTGCCTAATAGGCCCTTGGTAGCCCCCCAAAACTTCTGGGCCAGGGCCAGGGATGGGAGCATGAATAAGGCTGTAATACATCAAGCCAGAACTCCTCCTGACTTTGTATAGAACTAAACTAAGTTATTGATTTTTGTAATAAAAGGTGTGACCAACTGACACCATAGTTGCCTGTAGAAGGGACGAGCCAATCTCCAGGGTGCACTCTACTCTTGCCAGAGGGGACTCCTGGAAAGGAACCAGAGACCAGCTCCTTAATGTTCTAGGACAGGATGGTGATGTCAGTGCTAGGGATAAGCTCTGTTTTACAGCTGAATGAGAAGCCACCAGAAAGCCTCTTCTCACTTCTGCCACCTTCGCGCCCTTCTCCCTGAGCAGAGGGACTTTCTGTCCCTATCTCCAGGTTACTGTCTCCAGGTTACTGTCCCCTAGAGATCGTCTCTTACCTCGGAGATATTGGGATTGCAGCTAATCACAGAAATGCCCCCATTCCCAAAGTAAACAAGACCACTTTACTTTCAAGAATTCTTGACCCTCGGAGTACCCCTTTCCTGCAATTGACAGAAGATACTGGTCCTTTACTCTCCCAGCACCAGGGAACAAAGCAGCCAGAGCTGCCCCAAAAGCAACTTAGAGGCCGAAGCAGGCAGAGGTTTAACTATGGTATGGTCACCCGCAGTTATTAAAGTCTGAAACCACTGTGTCCTGAGTCCCTGAGTTCCCTTCCATTGTGCCTCTGCCCTGCCCCAGACCTGGGACCCTCCTCCGCTCGGAGGGTCATTCCCGTTGTCCTAATCACCTAGGCTACAGCCTCCAGCCCTGCTCCATTCAGAGTCTGGCTAGGGTGTGTTTTGATTGGTTAATGTCTGTGCCTCAGTGTTTGTGAAATATTTTGACCCGGTTATCCTGGGTCAGGGTGACTGACCTGAAGGGTGGGCAGTAGGAAATGATAACCGCACAGCTGCCTATAGGACTTCCAGCCCTCCTCCTGTGCTGAGAAGACTCCACCCCTTCACCTCCACAGTTTGGATCCTTCTCACAGGCCCAAGTTAATTATTGCTCAGAGAGAGGTCATTCTCTCAGGGGCAACAGCCTAGGAGTCACCACTCAGGCCTGGCTCTAAAGCTCCCAGCCTAGGACCATGCCGCCTGCCCGTTATGGATACCCAGTGCCAGCACCAAGGACAAGCCTGTGCCTTCCCCCAGCCCCCTTAGTATAGAACCAGCCAGCGCAGATGCTGCAACGATTCACAGAACTCAGATGTGTAGCTCAGGGTCACCCATACAGACAGCTCTCCCTCACACATACAACTCACAAAACAGACCCTCCACTGACCCCCGCATAGTACTGGGAAGCATGTAGCAGCAGATCCCCCCCCCAAAGCACATATATGTACCCAAGTCACACAGTCACAATACAATGCACCCGTGCACCCAAAAGTGGGCCTGCTGCTTGAAGACACCTCCAATCTGCATATGCTTCCTGTTTATCTTATTTTATTTTTTAATGTGTATGATATTTTGCCTGCATATGTGTGTGCATTATGCGCATGCCCAATGCCCTCAAAAGCCAGAAGAGGGCAGCATAGAACCCCCAGGCACTGAAGTTAGAGATGTCTGCGATCCACCATATGGGTGCTTGGAATTGAACCCCAGTCTTCTGGAAGAACAGCCAGTGCTCTTAACTGCTGAACCATCTGTGAGGGTCTCGTCCCCAGTTGGTGAAACTGTATTGCCTTGTTGGAGATGTGTCCCCGAGGGTGGGCTCTGAGGTTTCAAAAGACTCACCCTATTCCCGGTTAGCTCTCCGCCTGCTGCTTGCAGATCAAGACGTGAACTCTCAGCTGCTGCTCCAGTCACCTGCCTCGGTCTCCGGCATAAGCTCCAAGCCTCTGGAACTATAAAGAATTAAATTCCCTCTGCTACACCTTGTCTTGGTCACAGTGTTTCATCTCAGTAGAAAAGCAACTAAGACACCATTTCTCCAGCCCCAAGCCGTTTTCAGATGAGACAGAATCTTATTATATAACCCCGGCTGGCTCTGATGCTCCGGCCTGACACGTGCTGGGATCACACATGTGCGCTATTACACCTGTCTGTGGATTGCGCTGTTCATCCACTCCCACGTCACAGTAAAGAGAAAAGCATACCTCACTAGACACAGAGGCTTGTGCCGATCACTCCAGCACTCTGGAGGCTAAGGCAGAAGGGTTGCCAGGAGTTCCAGCTACACGGTGAGTTCAAGGTCAGCTTGCCCTATCTGGAAACCAATTTAGGGAAACAGGTGTGGTGGTGTGTGCCTTTAATCCCAGAGTTTGGAAGGCAGAAACAGGCTGATTCCTGAATTCAAGACCAGCCTGGCCTATGGAGCAAGTTTCAGGACGACCAGGTCCACACAGAGGAAACACTGTCTCAAAAAGCAAACAAACAAAACCTAGTCTGGTGGTGGTGGCAACCCCCCCCCAATCCCCCCCCCTTTTTTTTTTGGTGTTTTTGAGACAAGGTTTCTCTGTAGCTTTGGAGCCTGTCCTGGAACTAGCTCTTGTAGACCAGGCTGACCTCAAACTCACAGAGATCCTCCTGCCTCTGCCTCCCAAGTGCTAGGATTAAAGGTGTGCACCACCACCACCCAGCAATTGTTTTATTTCCTTTTTTCTTGTTTTTTTGAGACAGGTTTTCTCTGTAGCTTTGGAGCCTGTCCTGGAACTCACAGAGATCTGCCTGCCTCTGCCTTCCTGAATATTGGGATTAAAAGCATGCGCCACCACCGCCCGGCTACATCTCTGTGAATTTGAGACCATCCTGGTCTACAAAGCGAGTTCCAAGACAGCCAGGGGTACACACAGAGGAACCTTGTCTCAAAAACATAAATTTAATTTGGGCTGGAGAATATAATTCAATTGGTAGACCATTTGCCCAGCATATGCAAAATCCTGAGTTGACCTCCAGCCCTGTAAGCGAGGATTGGTGTGGGAAGTCTTTCTGTATATGTGCTGTTTTTATTGGTTAATGAATAAAAAAAGCTACTTGTGCCTATGACAGGACAGAATAGAGCAAGGCAGACATTCCAATATTATATTTAACATTTCCTCATGTCAAAATATAAAATAATAGAAATGGGTTAATTTAAGATATAAAAGTTAGTTAATAAAAAACCTAAGATATTGCCCAAGCAGTGTTTTTTTTAAATATTTATTTGTTTATTTATTTATTATGTATACAATATTCTGTCTGGGTGTACGCCTACAGGCCAAAAGAGGGCACCAGACTTCATTACAGATGGTTGTGAGCCACCATGTGGTTGCTGGGAATTGAACTCAAGACCTTTGGAAGAGCAGGCAATGCTCTTAACCACTGAGCCATCTCTCCAGCCCCCAAGCAGTGTTTTAATTAACAGTTTCTGTGTGATTATTTTCGGATCTGGGTGGCTGGGAACGAACAAGCAGCCTCTGGCAACAAAGTATGATCTCTCTGTCTCCTTTTTAGTTTTTTCTGTGTGTGTGAGTGCAGATGTGTTTGTGTCTGTGTTCTGTGTGTATGAGTGCAGATGTGTTTGTGTCTGTGTTTCTGTGTGTATGAGTGCAGATGTGTTTGTGTCTGTGTTTCTGTGTGTATGAGTACAGATGTGTTTGTCTCTGCTCCCTCACCCATGTGGCGAGTCATCCCAGCATGACTTTCAGGAACCGGTTCTCTCCTTGTACCATGGGATAGGAGAGGGGTAGAACTCAGATTCAAAGTCTGTACCATGAGAACCTTTACAGGTTGAGCTGTCTTTCTGGCCCCACTTCTGCTTCTGTGTCCTCATCTCTCTAGTCACTCCCTATGTCCTCATCTGAACTCTTACGCTAGGAATGCGAAGAAACTATGACCAGACCAAAGAGTTATGTCCTGTGGATCAGGGGGAGTGATACTCCTCCCGTGTGGGTTTTCCAGAGCTGGGAGACTGTCTGTATTATCAGCATCCTGGGGTTGGGGCTGTGTCTCCTTTTCTGGGAGAGGAGGAAGAAGCAGGCCCTGCTGGGGTATGGAACTTCCTGAAGTCTAAAGCTAATCAAAATCACTGTCCATGCTGAGACTTGAGCTCAGACTTCCTTGACAATAGAGGCTGAATCCTTGCCATCTGCACAGACAGGAGTGAGTCCCAGACAGAACTGGGCAGTCTGGTGTCAGCGCAGCCAGGATCCCTGTCCTCAGGCTCAGTCAGGGATGACTCACAGAAGAGCTGGAGAGTGCCCGTGGCTCCAGGGCAGCCTGGGTACTGGTTTATGGCCATCATCAGCTCTATCTTCATTAGCCAAATCACTGTATCAGGCAGCCAGCAGCTGCCAACTGACTGTCAGCTGACTGTGCTGTGCCCAGGTGTGAGCTACCCTGCCCTCGGGGCCTCTGTGCACCCTTGAACCTTTGACTCCGGGACAAAGCATGAGGTGCTCATCAGCGTCACTCGGTGTCTCCTGACATTTCCTCAGTTCAGAGTCTGTGTCAGGGGAAAGGACAGAGAATGAATAAGACCCGGATCCTGGCCTTGTAAGCACTCTTTCCCCTGGCAAATGAAGACACCCAAGTAATTATAACACCACAGTGATCTGAACCACGTGGGGAAGAATAACTGTGCCCCGGAGGTGGAGAAGTGTTTCCCTGGGTGCTGACTGTCCTGAAAAAAAAAAAAAAGGTTTTTTTTTTGTTGTTGTTGCAAAGTTGAGACATTCCAGAGGGAAGAGAGTATGCAATGGCACAGAGGTGCCAGGGATCAAGGAATGCTTCCTGAATGTGACCTGGGACCTCGTGGGCCTGGGGGCAGCAGGAGACGGACCTGGGGGTGTGGACAGGGTTTGTATCCCAAACAACAGTAGAGAAAGGAGACACCAGGAATCTGGTGACAGTCTGAAGGGGTCATGGTCAACAGAGGGGACTTGGTGCTCATGACAGGGCATGGCTACGGGAAAATCAAAGCTGTGCTACCTTTATGAGCCAGGACAAACCAGGTGTGTGGCTCACACCCTAGTCCCAGAACAGGGGAGGCGGAGGCAAGAGGATCAGTAATCTAAAGTCAGTCTCTGCTACAGGACACAGTTAAGGACAGACAGGGGTGTGCGAGGCTCTGCCTAGAATAGCTCCTCCAAATGCCTGTGCAATGGGACACACACACACAAACACACACACACACACAGAACCAGGCTACGTCAGAGGTAGAGTGTCAGCTCACTGTACACGAGGCCCTGAGGTAAATCCTCAGCACAGGGGGAAAAAAACCAAAACATTTAATAACAATATCCCAGGACTTGGTGGGATACATCTTTAATCCCAGCACCAAAGAGGCAGAGGCAGGTGGATCTTCGTGAATTGGAGTCCAGCCTGATCTGCACAGTGAATTCTGGGACAGCCAGGGCTACATAATAGAGAGACGCTGTCTCAAAAGAAACAAACGACAAACCTAACGAAAATACAATACCCTGGAAAACTTCAGACCTACACCCTTCTCGAAGTTTTTCGCCATACCGATTTCTAGACTCACAAAGGAGCGAGGAGGTGGCACCCATCAGCAGCCCCAGCACTTAGCTGGCGGTGGCAGTGCACGCCTGCCTTTCATCCCAGCACTCAGAAGGTATGGACGGAGGAGGAGGAGCAGAAACTCGAGATGGTTCCCTGGGTAAAAGTGCTTATTGTGCAAACTTGATAACCTAAATTCAACCTCTGGAACCTTGTTGTGGAAGGACAAAATCAATTCACAAGGCTTCTGACCTCTGTACCCTCCCTGTAGAGTGCATTCCCACACGTCCCCACACATAACAACAACAAAATAAAAATTAAATTTATCAAGTTCAAATGGATCAAAGACCTCAACATAAAGCCAGCCACACTGAACCTCACAGAAGAGAAAGTGGGAAGTACACTTGAATGCATTGGCACAGGGAAGCACTTCCTAAATAGAACCCCAGCAGCACAGACACTGAGGGAAGCAATTAATAAATGGGACCTCCTGAAACCGAAAAGCTTCTGTAAAGCAAAGGACACGGTCAACAAGACAAAACGACAGCCTACAGAGTGAGAAAAGATCTTCACCAACCCCACATCAGACAGAGGTGTGATCTCCAAAATATACAAAGAGCTCAAGAAATTGGACACCAAAAGATAACATAATCCAATAAAAAAAATGGAGTACAGACATAAACAGAGAACTCTCAACAGAGGAATCTAAAATGGCTGAAAGACACTTAAGCAAATGTTCAATATCCTTAGTCATCAGAGAGATGCAAATCAAAACAACTCTGAGATTCCATCTTACACCTGTAAGAATGGCCAAAATCAAAAACACTGATGACGACTTATGCTGGAGAGGTTGTGGGGAAAAGGGAACACTTCTGCATTGCTGGTAGGAATACAAGCTGGTAAAACCCCTTTGGATGTCAGTATGGCGATTTCTCAGAAAATTAGGAAACAACCTTCCTCAAGACCCAGTAATACCACTTTTGGGTATATATCCAAAGGATGCGCAATCGTGCCACAAGGACATGTGCTCAACTATGTTCATAGCAGCTTTGTTTGTGATAGCCAGAACCTGGAAACAACCTAAAAGCCCCTCGACCGAAGAGTGGATAAGGAAAATGTGGTGCATTTACACAATGGAGTACTACACAGCAGAAAAAATAGCGACAGCTGGAATTCTGCAGGAAAATGGATGGAATTAGAAAACATTATTTTGAGTGAGGTAACACAGACACAGAAAGACAATGATCACATGTACATGTACTCACTCATCACTCATAAGTGGGTTTTTTTTTTTGTTTTTTTGTTTTTGTTTTTCGAGACAGGGTTTCTCTGTAGCTTTGGAGCCTGTCCTGGAACTCCCTTTGTAGACCAGGCTGGCCTCGAACTCACAGAGATCCGCCTGCTTCTGCCTCCTGAGTGCTGGGATTACAGGCGTGCGCCACCACCGCCCGGCTCATAAGTGGTTTTTAAACATAAAGCAAAGAAAGCCAGCCTACAAACCACAATCCCAGAGAACTTAGACAACAATGTGGACACTAAGAGAGACTTACATAGATCTAATCTATATAGGAAGTAGAAAGTAGAAAAAGACAAGATCTCCTGAGTAAATTGGGAGCTTGGGGACCTTGGGGGAGAGTTGAAACGGGGAGAGGAAAGGCAGGGAGAAGAGCAGAGAAAATGTAGAGCTCAATAAAAATCAATAAAAAAATAAATTTAGGGCTGGAGAGATGGCTCAGAGGTTAAGAGCACTGACTGCTCTCCCAGAGGCACTAAGTTCAATTCCCAGCAACGACATGGTGGCTTACAACTGTAATGAGATCTGGTGCCTTCTCCTGTCATTCAGACATACACACAGACAGAACACTGTATACATGATAAACAAATAAATAAATCTTTTTTTAAAAAAGGAAATTTTTAGGAAAAAAAGGGACAGGTCTTGAAAAATGGCTCTGAAGTTAAGAGAGTATTCTGCTCTTCCTGAGGACC